TTGAAGGTTGTAAGCAATGAAAAACAAACGTTGGGGCTCAAGGGTAATTCGCAGGGGTTCATGGTCTAAGCTATATCGATTTTAAACAAGTGATAAAGTTAATCAACTACGTATGTTCTAGAACTCGAGGCACGGAAGTATGAATAGCCTACTTTCGCAGCACTAAACAACTATCTCTCGCAACCCTGATCAGTAGGTTTCCACTCTGATCCTGGAAGGGAGAAGATGCAATAGCAAAACAAGACTCATCAATATTCACAACTCAACTACAGGTAGGTTTCCACTCCTATAGAAGAATTGCTCGTTTCACCCTAGTTCAGACAATCAATGAAAACTTTCGCAGCATATCATATCAGATCGGCTTCTAAGTGGCCAGCAGAGAATCACGCAGTAAGATTAAAGGTAAACGAAGAACATCTAGAAGATTAATAATCCTAAATCTATCGATTCATAAGAAAAGACACATGAAATTCCCTTTGAACAATCCCTTTAAACCCAACTGGGTAACTACTCAAACATATTGTAACAAAGCATCATAGAGTATTGAAAGTTTAGGAAATTAAAGAAAATAAGGAAGGAAAACGAAGAACGGAGAAGCAGATGGAGGTGCGATGTCTTCCTCCAGCGGCGGCTCCTTCTTCTGATGCGGCGGCCTCCTCTAGGGTTCCACACGAAATCCCTCTCTCTCTCTCTCTCTAAGTTGTCTAAGTTTCGGTCTCCCCTCTTTAGAATGACCTAAAGAGGGTATTTATAGCTTCTGGAGTTGTCCTGAAAGGAATTAATTAAGTCGTCTGGAAAGTGAACGACCAAGTTCCGCGGTCGCGGTGGCTCTACCCGCGGGAAAATGGGTGTTGGCCGCGGTCCCGGCACATGCTCTCTTCCGGAACTGCATTTTCTATCATTCTTGCATCGAGATTATCTGAAGATCCAACCGTTGTATTGTCTCCAAACCAAGTGCATTAGAAAGCTGGTTGGATCCTCTATGTTGTCTCAAAATTTGGGGGTGATCAGACGGTGAGAAGGTCTTCATCGCTTATCATACTTCTGACGGTCTGCATTTATCCAAAATTGCTCATTTGTTCCAAATTGCATATCTTTTGCCCAAGTTTCCTGTAAAGTCTTTTGAAACTATAAAACATTGAAAAAACTTTAAAAACCATTGAAAACAGAGTTAAAACACCTGCATAAGATACAATTATGATCCATAAAAGTGGTCAAAATACGGTGTTATCAACTCCCCCAGACTTACCTTTTTGTTTGTCCTCAAACAAACTTAAGTCAGGAAAGAAACTTTTGAAAATCGCAGGAACTAAACAATATCTCAGTGACCGTCCCTCTAAACCATAACTAATCGTGAAATATCTATTTGGATCTAGTCTAGAAAATTCTCACCAAAATACAAGCAAACTAGTCCGTTAATCCGTCATGCGAAAAATCTACACATTTAGATCTAACTTCCAGTCAACTAGCTCTCTACATTCATTAAGTATAGTAGTGAATTCACATCAAAGGCATTATTCAGGGTAGACGGCGTTTGGCATTAAAGGCTATTTAAGTGGTGGAGTTTAAGTGTTTAGGGTTACCTGAAGAATATGGAGGATGCAAGATATTATGCAAAACCGCAAGAGAGAGAAGGACTTGTTGATGACCGCAGATTTTCAGTCACTTCTCCTTTGCCTAATGTTGTTGCATAATCTTCCTCCTTTGTTGTAAACAGCTGTTCCCCCAGACTTAGATCTTTTCCGGGAATCATAAAGATAATCTCCAAAACTCTATATAGGCTTTGATTGGCGTGCAGGCTGTGAGGACTTTTATGTGTTTAACAGTTCTTACAGCAATATTTTTTCCAATCAGATTTTTTAGGCTTTAAAATATTCTACAGTCTTTACAGCAGTTTTTAAAATTCTCTTTGTTATTTTTAACAGCCTCTTTTTGTGGCTTTTAAAGTTTCTCTCTCCTATTTTTATTCTTTTTACGTAGGATTTTTTTTTTCATTTCCTTAAGTCATTAATTCTATTAGTGTTTTAACAAATGAGTTGAAAAAATCAACTCACATCAAATACTCAAATTAAATTCCTACTCCTTACGTAGGATTATTTTTTTTTACATTTCCTTAAGTCATCAATTCTATTATTGTTTTAACAAATTGTTGAAAAAATCAACTTAGATCAAATACTCAAATAAGAAACATTCAAACAAAAAATGAAATAATGAAATAGTACTATTTTTAGATCACGAACTCACTATAAATACATTGAGAAAGTTTTCTAAAAACTGGCACATCCAACAGGTATAATTGATTTTCTTCTTGATATTTTTTCTTTAATATTTTCAATACATAGATATTTTATTGATCTAAAACTTAATATCGTTACAGAAATGGCATCACCATCTTATTCTCGGCAGATAACATATAAAATTTCATTTTTTAATTCAATACAGTTATATATTTTTTTATGTTATACCAATATATGTATGTTTTTTTTGGTGAAAATCTATAGAAAAAGATCACTTGGACTGATAACAAGACTCATATCTTCCTTTCATTGTTCATCTCTGAACAAGAGGATGAGGGTTGGAGGGAGTCACTCTTAACAAAAGAGGGAAAAAATAATTTAGTTTCAAATTTTTTTGAGGCAACAGGATATAAGTTATCATGGAAAATTTTTAAAAATCATTACGACCACGTGAAAACACGTTACACTGCATACAAAAGATTATGCAACAAAACTGGAGTACATGTCGATTCGACTACTGGAGAAATTGATATGGAAAAAGAATGGTGGGATGACCGGTGCAAGGTAAATCTCATGTAATAATTTTTATTCAATATGTTATTCGAAATTATAAAATTCATTACTTAATAACATAATTTTTTTATAAGAAATTCCGGGAGCTAGTCTTATACAAAAAAAGCCGTTACAGGATATTGATATGCTAGAAAAAATATTTTCAGACGGGTATATTAGAAGTGAAGACGGGTGGGCGGTTGGAAATGGTTCTGATGGATACGTGCCAGTGGATGATACACAAACCGAGGCAGATGAATCTGATAAGGGTGAAGACCAGGAATCAAATTTTTGTGAAACACCAAGCACCCAAGATCGTACTCGCTCAAACAAAACGCATTCAAACGTTACACGTAAACGTAAAGGTTCAGGGAGAAGACTTTGAGTGTTACTCAAAAAATAAAGATTATTCAAAAGGTTAATGAACAGATTGGAGCTGATTTGCATTGGAAACAAGGAAAAAATCGTTTAGATTGTTTAAAAGATCGTTACAACATTTATCTGAAAAATCCGGAAGCTCCAGAACTTCATCCAAATTTTTTTCAGTTTATTCCACTTCTTGATGCAGTTTTTGATAACTAAACCAATATAAAAAATAATTAGTATAGATGAAGTTTTTTCCGTTTTATATATTAATCTCTAAGCTTTTGTATTTTTTATTATATTTTTCCATTGTATTGGTTATTTATGCTAATAATAAATTTTTTTTTGTTTTTTCTTGTATAGTTTACATTTTAATCAAAAAAATAAAATTTTAAATTAACAGTCACAGTTCTTACAGTTTATATCAACAATCAGACTTTTAAAAACAACAGTCTCAGTTTTAACAGCCAAAATCTCTACAGCAAAAAGTCTACAGTCACAGCCAACAGTCACAGTTCTTACCAATCGGACCCATAATCAGATCAAGCTTGCCTCAGGTATAAAATTCGATTCTCCTAGACTCTCTAAGGTTTTAAATTTCCTCTCCCTTCATATTTTTTCTTTTCTTTTTCGTTTTTTATTTTTTTTTTTATTTTAGGGGAAATAACCTTTTATAGAGAGAGAGTCTAAAGGACGAAATTGTACCAAGAGTTTGAAGTTTTTCCAAGGCAAACTGAGTTTTATCCTTTTGTTGAATTGTTCCAATGAAATCGCAAGTCTCCGTCTTCAGTGACTAAAAACCGCGTTTATCCTCTTTCTCTCCGATGTTTTTGCACATATCTGCATATAGGACAATGAAAAACGAGAATGCATGTGGTTTGAAAGAGGTTACGTTCGGTGGGGAACTAGCTAAAGATGAACTAGCCATTCAAGATCAACAAAGTGTGGTAAAAGGATAAAGGAGTCCTGAATGTATGATTCGTTTCCCTGATCTAATGGTTTAATGAGAAAATTAAGTCAAAATTAAGTCCAGATAAAATGAGCTCACTACAAGAATACACGAATTTAGCGACACCAGAAAACGTCGGAAAATAGTCGCAAATCGGAAATTTACGTCTTATTAGCGACTAAAAGAAGTAGTCGGGAATTCTTAGTCGCTAATTAATACAGTCGTGAAATAGTCGTAATTTGGCGACTATTTTACGACTAAATTGCGTGTGATATAAACTGACGTAACGTAGTCGTAAATCCGTCGGCAAATATAGTGACTAATTTACGACTAAATTTGCGACTCGTTTACGACTAAAATGCAGTCATACTCTTAATATCAACGTAGTAGCAATTTAGTCGTTAAATAAGCAGTCGTTATTTAGACGGTAAATAAACGACCATTTGACGACTGTTTTGTGACATATTTACCTACTTATTTGCGACTATTTCACTACTATTGTCGGAAAATGAACAGTACTTTGTTGCACTTTTACGACTGAATTGTGACTGATCTGTGACCTTTTTCCGACAAATTTAAGACTGTTTAGTGACTATTTTGATCATCGTTTTTGTAATTTGGTATTTGCTATTTAGATACTCCCAATTTTGAAACCTGTTTATAAACAGTGCTATAAAATGCTCATTTGAATACTAAAACCATGATCAATAATTTAAAAGCCAAAAACCAATACATTCATCATCATCATTAATTTAAACCCAAAAAATCTCAAATGGTTTCTATATACAACCATTATAGAGAATACAAAATGAGAAGAGACATACTCTTCTAAAGTTTCCGAGACATTAAAAAGAGTCCTAATTAAGGTTCCGAGACATAAAAAAAAAGTGAGAAGAGACCTACACATCTAAGGTGGTACTTGATGTTTGAGTTACATGTGTTGTCGGATCAGCCGGCGGATCATCAGGTTGTTGAGTGGTAGACTTCGCAGCATGAATGGTCGATGGAGGAGTTTGACTAGCCAAAAAACCATTGAACCGTGGATCAGTTTGAGTCAAGTACCTTTCAACCATGGTGAGCTTCTCGATCTTGGCTTCTTGTGCAGCTGAAGCTTTGGCAAACTCTGCTTCACGCCTTGCATTCTCAGCCGCTTGGAGCTCTATTTGGTGTTGAGCTTGTTGAAGCTGTTCCTGCAGAGTGCCGTAGGATGCAGAGCTTCCTGGGTACTTCCTCTTGCCATTGACGTACAAGTGAGAGAGGCTACCAACTCCATAAGGTACACCTCTTTCACTCATAATAGTCGACTGCGAATACAAAAAAAAGAGTCAGACATATGATTCATTAAACTAAAACAATGTTAGAATCAAAGGAAAAGCAAGATAAATCCATAAAAGAATAGAGAACCTTACCTGTAGAAACAAGTCGTTCTGCTCTTCCACAGTTAGCTCTCGACGAGGTGATGTACCCTCAGGATTGTCTGAGCTTTCAGGGTTTAGGGCAGACAACTTGGCTTCCAAGTTTTTCTGGTAAGTCTCAGCCACTCTCTTTGCCTTTCCATCTACATAACTCCCATCCTTTTTTGTGTGAGTCCTGATGAATACCTCACCAAGACTCACCGGTCTACCTAATTCCTCTTCCTGAAATTATAAACCAAAATATGTCAGCGGGTAAGTTATTAATCATATTTCCTAAAACTAACACTTATTGAAGAATAACAGAATAGAAAGTTACCATTTCTTGCTGGATTTGCAGATAGGATTTCTGTCCTGAGAAGTGAACGTGAGGTCCAAGACCACCACGTTCAGACAACCGAGCAGCTGAAGTTGTTGAACTCTTATCTTTAGATTTTTCTGTGTCCCAATAGGCAGTCATTTGTTCCCAGAGTGTATCCCCGATCCAGTTAGGTTGCACTCTTGATGTCCTTACGGTGCTGACCATATCCTTCATCCGGCTTTTGCAAATGCTTTCAAATTTTTCTTGAACCACACCAGTGATCAAGGGATCCCAGGTGTGGGTTTTCTACAACAACAAGAGACAAAGAGATGATGTTAGAATAAGACATAGTTACAAAAACAAAACAAAACCATGTAAATGAAAAAGGATGATCTTACCGCGAATTCTATGAAGTAACGCTCTTGTCTATCACGAGGCACACGACTCCAGCTGTAGAAAGGGCCATCAAACTTGTTGGTGAATACCTTGGTAATTTTCCGGGTAAGAGAGGACTTGTCACGACCAAACCTGGATACAAAGAAAACAAAGCAAGCAGTCATCGAGCCATCATTTGAAGAATGAAACAAATGAAGCTAGAGTAAAAAAGACTTACCATGTTGTACCCGGTTTCTCTATGGGAGATAGTACCGTAGTGTAAGCCTCTCTCCCAGGCTTCGTGAGCAATGCATTTAGAATACTTAGCTGGTCTTCAGAGAGGTTGACATCACCGTATTCTTCATCTGAAGGTTCTTGAAATGCAGCTTCTTCACCGTCAGAATGAGCTTGTTGAGAGTGTGGAGAATTACCTCCTTCTTGAAATAATGGAGAGGCTCGGTTTTGAGAGAAAGAAGAAGCTCCAGAAGCTCCTTGGTGCTGCGATTGAGGTGATGCAGAATGCTGCCGATGAGATTGCTCTTGCAACCGGTGTTGAGGAGATGGAGAGAATCGAGTTTGAGAATGTTCTGACCTTCTAGGTTGAGGCGGTGGTTGAGACTCAGGTGCTCCTTGTTGCGAGTTCTGGAAGAGCTCCATCGGCGGTGGATAATCTCTTACATGTGTAGGGCCGTTGGTCGGGCCTAGCGGTGGTGGAGATGTCGCCGGTATGAACTCATACCGACTGGGTAAGGGAGTCGATGCTCGACTGGTTACGGCTGCTCCTCCTCGTGCTCCTCCGCGTTTCTTCCTTCCACGGCCACCCATCGGAATCACAGAATCGGAAAGAATCTCCATGAATAAAATTCCTCTGGTGGGATTTCGTAATGCAAGTACTTAGCTACCGCCTAGTCTAGGCCTAAATCACAAAAAGAGCAAAAAACGAGGAAATAGCGTAGAAGCACACTGGTCTAAATCATCATAGTATTGTTTACTGTGTTCCTGGTTTGAAAACTTTTTGAAAAACATTTTTGAAAACGATTTTTGAAAAATTTTATGTAAAACATTTTGAAAAACTTTTTGAAAAATTTTATGTGTCCAAAACAAACTCATAACAAATCAAATTTCATTAGTAACGGATGAACATCCTCCCCCAGACTTATTTCACACTGTCCTCAGTGTGTTAAATCTTGGAAAGAATGGTAAAGAAAATAGAAAAGTTGAAATGTTTAAGAGTACTTATCGTGCTGGAGAGTGCTGCTCGTCTTTTGTATTTGTTCTTCCTTATTGAAAACCTGAGATTAAATGAAACAGAAACAAAGCAATGGAAATAGAAAATAAAGGTCAAAGGGAAATAGATAAAATACCAAGTGGGTTGCCTCCCACTAAGCGCTTGTTTCAAGTCGTTAGCTTGACATTGTTGCTCGATTAGACTTAACCGGGGTCGTGACACTCCTTGATCTCATCATTGGCCGATGATGGATCAATCAAAAACATCACTTCTCTTTCGTCTTATGTTTCTTCAGCCTGATATGGCTTTACACGCTGTCCATTCACTGTAAATGAGTTTCCGTTTCTGTCCCACAGGACAATGGCTCCGTATGGCTTGACTTCCTTTATCGTGAAGGGTCCAGACCATCTTGATCGTAATTTTCCTGGAAAAAGCTTAAGACGAGAATCGAAAAGAAGAACTTTATCGTTAGGAGCAAAAGTTTTATGAATAATCTTCTTATCATGATATGCTTTAGTCTTCTCCTTGTAGATCTTCGAGTTTTCGTAAGCATTGTGTCGGATTTCTTCTAACTCGTGAAGTTGAAGTAGTCTTCTTTCTCCAGCTGTTTTCAGATTCATGTTCATCTCCTTGATAGCTCATTGCGTCTTATACTCGAGTTCTACTAGAAGGTGACATGCTTTTCCATAAACTAGATTGAATGGTGTTGTTCCTAATGGTGTCTTGAATGCTGTTCGATATGCCCATAATGCGTCATCAAGCTTTGTAAACCAATCCTTGCGATGAACTGCAGTTGTTTTCTGCAAAATCGACTTGATTTCTCTGTTTGAGATTTCTACTTGACCGCTGGTTTGGGGATGGTATGGAGAAGCAACTTTATGCGTAACTCCATTCTTTCTAAGAAGATTCTCGAAAACTCTGTTGATGAAGTGCGATCCTCCGTCGCTTATCACAATTCTAGGAACTCCAAAACGCGGGAATATAACAGATTTAAACAGCTTCATGACGAATTTTCCATCATTGGTGGGGCTAGCGACTGCTTCAACCCACTTAGAGACGTAGTATACTGCTACTAAGATGTATTGGTTTCCAAAAGAAGTAGGTCCCATAAAATCTATTCCCCAGATATCGAAAATTTCGACTTCGAGAATAAAATTTTGAGGCATCTCATTCCTTTTGCTTATGTTACCCATCCTTTGGCATTTATCGCATCGCGATATATAAGCTTGAGTATCTTTGAACAAAGTAGGCCACCAAAAACCTGCTTGTAAGATCTTTGAAGCGGTTTTGAAGGTTGCGAAATGTCCTGCGTAAGACGAGCTATGGCATCCGAATAAAATTCCTTCCATCTCTTCTTCAGCCACACATCTTCGGAATAACCCATCAGCACATCTCTTGTAGAGATAGGGTTCATCCCAAAAATAATGTCTTACGTCTTTCAGAAACTTTTTCTTCCTATAACCGAAAAATTGTGGGGGCTCTACATCAGCTGCTAAGTAATTTGCTATGTGCCTAAACCATGGTGTGTTGAAAGTATCTGCTCGTCGCAAGAGTTGACGTGGTTGTGCAGCATTGGAATTGGTGGGGGTAGTATCTATTGCATAGATGTTTTCTTCTGGCAAACTGTCATTTAGAGGCAATCTTTCTTCAACTCGAATTCGTGAAAGATGGTCTGCAACTCCATTATGTGCTCTTTTTCGATCTCGAATTTCGATATCGAATTCTTGCAGTAGGGGGATCCATCTTATCAACCGAGGTTTAGCGTCTTTCTTAGACATTAAATACTTGATTGCAGCATGATCAGTATGAACTATGACCTTTGATCCTACGAGATAAGAACAGAATTTCTCAAATGCAAATACGACAGCTAGAAGTTCTTTCTCTGTTGTAGCATAATTGCATTGAGCTTCATCTAGAGTTCTGCTTGCGTAGTAGATTACGTGCAGTTTCTTATCTTTTCGTTGGCCAAGCACTGCTCCGAATGCATAGTCACTTGCATCACACATGATTTCGAATGGGAGTTCCCAATCAGGTGCTTGCACGACAGGCGTGGAGACAAGAGCTTGTTTGATCTTATGAAACGCGGCTAAGCACTCATCATCAAACTCGAAGTTCGTTTCCTTGCAAAGCAAACGCGTAAGAGGTCTAGCTATTTGAGAAAAATCTTTTATGAAACGCCTATAGAATCCTGCGTGTCCTAAGAAACTACGAATTCCTTTTACGTTTGTGGGGGGGGGGGGGGGTGTAGGCTGGTCATGACTTCAATTTTAGCTTTGTCAACTTCAATTCCTTTTCCCGAAATTCTGTGCCCAAGCACGATTCCGTCTCGTACCATGAAGTGACATTTTTCCCAATTTAATACTAAGTGCTTATCTTCACATCTTTGCAGAACTTTACCAAGATTGGCTAAGCATTTTTCAAAAGAAGATCTATAGACAGAGAAATCATCCATGAATACTTCCATGAAATTCTCAGTAAAATCTGTGAAGATCGACATCATGCACCGCTGGAAGGTAGCAGGTGCATTACACAATCCAAAAGGCATACGTCGGTAAGCGAACGTGCCATATGGACAAGTGAATGTCGTTTTTTCTTGATCCTCTGGGCGAATAGGAATTTGGAAAAATCCGGAGTATCCATCAAGGAAGCAATAGTAAGGGTGATTAGCTAATCTTTCTAGCATTTGATCTATGAAGGGAAGTGGAAAATGATCTTTCCTAGTTGCTGCGTTCAGTTTCCGGTAATCGATGCACATACGATGTCCAATTACTGTTCTTGTAGCGATCATTTCATCTTTATCATTTTTAATGACAGTGACTCCTCCTTTCTTTGGAACAACATGAACTGGGCTAACCCAAGTGCTATCTGAGATAGGAAAGATTATTCCAGCTTCTAAAAGCTTCATAATCTCCTTCTTGACAACATCCATGAGATTAGGGTTCAGTCTCCTTTGACTTTCGATTGAGTTTTTAGCATTATCCTCTAGATTAATCTTGTGCATACAAAGATCTGGAGAGATTCCAGGTATGTCATCAAGCGAATATCCTAAGGCTTTTCTATGCTTTCTCATCTCAGTCAACAGAATTGTGGTTTCTTCTTCCGTCAAACCAGAGTTTATTTTGACAGGATAAGTAGAATTTGGTCCAAGGAAAGCGTACTTAAGTCCGACGGGAAGAGGTTTAAGCTCGACTTTAGGGGCTTTAAGCTCGCTCCAAGGATCATTAATTGCTGCGGCAGTGTCTTTAGGAGGTGTAGGAATGTTTGTTTGGTCCTTAAGATCTAGATAGTGTAGAGGTTTCCTATAAGTTTCGGACATATCAAGCATACGCGAGCATTCACTCGATATTTCTTCAAGGAAATTGTGATATATTCATAAATTGCATCATTTAATGTACATATTCTAGTCCAAATCATGTCTCATTTGCATGCATTTTAGGTCTTTAGGCATTTTTTTAGGACTTAGGAGATGACATTAGGTCCAAGAGAGTTTTGCATGTTTTGGAGTGTTAAACAGGTGCTTTTGGAGTTTATTTGGAGTGGAGGATGTGATTCAGATGAAGAAATGGAGTTGAACTTATCAAAAATGGTGAAAAGGAGCAATTTTGGGTTTCTCGGCAAAATGATGTACTGATGGCCGAAGATTCTCGGCCAAAATCCTTCCCGCGGGTAGCTTTTTCGGCCAAAAACACGTACCGCGGTCAAGTCTCTCGGCCAAAAATCCCGGGTGCAGATACATTTCCGAAATCGCGTCACCGGAAGCTCTTGCCGGCCGATTCAGCTTACAGTGTCATCAGCAAAGTTGGAGATACTTGAGTCAAGAACCCAGGACAGGTTGAATCAGGGCATTTGGAGCACTGAGCTGAAAGATAAGGTCACCGGAAGACAGACCTCTCTCGCATCCATTCCGGAGCAATCCGATACCCCTGAATGATCGCCTGTCCGGGGAACCTTCCGGTCCGATTAAGTTGTCTAGAGCTTCTTCATATTTGGAGAAGATTGGATCATGGTTCCATAGCAAGTGGAATCATGGAATTCGGACGCGTGAGCAGAAAGTTAAGCTCGTCGGAAGGAACCCCTGTCTCGCTGCTGTTTTGGACCAAGCCGATGAGCTCTGAAGAATGCGAAGCACGGTGCACTTCCAGGCCGATTAAGTTTCCGGGGCCTTCTTGAGAATCAGAGACATTTGAGTCCTCTTTCCAGAGCGTCCGAGATCATTCAATTCGGAGCTATGAACAGGAAGATACGGTCTCTGGAATGGACACATGTCTAGACGCCTCTCTCTGATCGTGTAAATGCACTGCAAAGATGAGCCCTCCAGGAATCCTTCCACTTCCCAAGCGCCGAAGCTTGCTTCACCAAAGTTATAGATATACGAGGCCTCTATCCTCTTCAACCGGAATCACTCAATTCGGACAAGTATCGTAGAAGTTACACTCTCTGGAATGCGAAGTGGTCCAAGCTGCTCTGAATGCTTCGAGAAAGCCTTGCGACTTGGTTAACTCGCAGGCCTGAAGATTAATGCCTGGAAATTGATGCTGCGAGTTGGGAAGTGCGGGTAAGCTATAAATGGATGAGGTCTGAGGCTCCCGAACAAGAAAATTGCTAAGTCCACAATACTGCGACTTGG